TAGGTCATATGGGAGACTAGGAATGATATGTTGTTTAAAGGTAAATAAGTAAATTTGTTGGATATTGTAGATTTAGTAAATAAGTTGAAAGCTTGGAGTTAGTCGAGGGCGAGAAGGAAGATGTTCATTCCCTCAACTGGATCTTGCACCTTGAATTTGTTGGCTTGTCTGGAGGTGATTGCTTAAATGGGATCCTCAGGGGTAAAATGGATTGGTGAGTGTTGATGTGGTGGTATTGAACTACTTGCATGGTCTCTCAATTTTGGAAAAAGGTAGTAGGTTTTGATTTATATCATTAGATAACGTACTTATTGTGTGACTATCATGCATTTTGATGTATGTCTTTGAAGTTTAGGTGTATAGTTTAGAGCATGTGATTTATCTACTACACAGTCTTTGTATTTCTGATACTCTACATGCGTATATACTGTATTTTATTGAGTATGATTTAATAAAAAAAAGTTTGCTATAAAAAAAGTCTCATTGTAAATTAGTTTTATTTTTCAATAATCCTTAAAATTAAGAGTAAATCACATTGATACTATATAGATAGGGGTTTAAATGAGTCAAGTTGTAACAGCTCGGTCACACCCAAATGAATGGAATCTAGAGGTTGTATAGGTGTAAGACTATACAATTGAGGATGACCTAAATGAATGAATTTGTATTCTTTATACCAACAAGATACATATACTTTTTTATAGTTTATCACTTAAGAACTTCAAAATTAAGTGTGTTTGACTTGAAGCAATTTAAGGATGTGTGAGTGAAGATAAAACATGTTAAAAAGTTTTGTATATTGGTTTGTAGGGATAACCCTTGATCCTAAAAGCGATCAAACATCTTAAAAATAGCTACCCATTGAGGGTTCTAATCGATATAGGATTTTAACCAACGAGATATTATGTGAAGTATCATAGAGTGAAGTCATAAAGATGTTAAATCTAAGGGGTGTTACAAATGGTATCTAAGTTTGCTTCTCTCTCCTAGTAAGGTGTAGTTTGAGAACAAGTCAAACAAGAACTGGTGAGCTTGTAACAGTCCAAACACACCGAAATGAGAAGGATCCAAAGGTTGTATAGGTATGAGAATGTACATTGAAGATGACTTAAAGGAATAAATTTGTATTATCTATACAAACAAGATATGCATCTATTTTTTGGTAACTCCTCATTTAAAGACTTCACAGTTAAATGTGTTTGACTTATATGATTTAGGGATGAATGATTTTCTAAGAAGTTTTCTAGAAAGTGTATGATTGAGGACAAAGCATGCTATAAAGTCTTGTGTGTTGGTTTGTGGAGACAATCGTTGATCCCAAAGGTGGTTGGACATCTCAAGAAGAGCTACCTACGAAGGGTTTTAACTAGTGAAGGATTTGACCAATGAAGGGTCTAACCAATAAGGAGTTGTGTGAAGTATCATCGTGTGAAGTATTGTAGAGTGAAGTTTTTGATATGTCAAATTCGATAGGTGTTACAAAAGCTATTCTTGAATTATTTTGACTTACATAAAAAGATCAAGTCTAGTACCACTCAAACTAACAACTTGTAGGTGTAAACTCTTATATTTAAGTATTTATAACATAAAAATATATACATTATTTAATTAAAATGACAAGGTTTATTACATTAAACAAATAACATAATGTTAACAAATCTTAGAAAGATGTATCATATTTTTTATTCAATTTACTTCTTTATTATATATTATTAGTAGGAAAAAAAAAACAATTCGTGCCTTTGATATTAAAAAAAAAAGTAGTTATTGAAAGTATATCTCTCTCACTTAAAAAAAAATAAAATAAAAAAGAAATAGTAGAGTGGGGTAGTTATTCAAAAGGTGTGGGTGATTTATAATCTATGAAATAATAATTTAAGGATAAAATTATAACTAAAATGTATAAATGAAAAAGGTCTTTCGCATTTATTATAATTATAGATAAAACTCTATATAAATAATTTTGAAGACTAAAAGTGATGCATATGTCTATAAAAAAAGTTTGATGAATAAGAAAAATAGTGGATAAGTAATGACAATCATAATTATCAAATAGAAAGTTAATGACATATTGAGATTTTTAAACTAAATATTACTATCTACTTAATAATTACTTGAAATTCAATAGTTCTTAATATAGGACATTTTTTTGAAAGACAAACCAAACTTAAAAATTTCTAAAGAAACCAAGAATATATATTTCACACTTTTACCATTAATATGAATATGATACACAAAAAGTTAATAATAAAAATAACAAGACTTAATCATATCACAATTTTATATTTAGATATAAAAATAAATTTATAAGAAATAATAATTTATTTTTAAAATAATATAAAAAAAATTATCTCACAATTATATAACTATTAAAAAAAAAAAACTCTTTTAATCATGATTTCGAAGTAATTGCACCTCTAAACGAGGCTCAGAGGCAATCCTGGATGATTTATGATTAGTGACATTGTAAAATTATTGGTGTTTAATTTATTTTCTCATTTTATAATAAAATATTATATTAAAATATGTTACATGCATGTAAATTAAATTTTTATGAAATTAACATTTTGCTACATCAACCAATCTCAACAATGGCCAAACGAACATTCTTATATGACATGCATATAGAACAGTACATGAACCTTTCTCTATATTAGCTCACAATCACAGAAATGCAACAGCAAATTGTTCTTAAGCAGATCAATCTAACACATGTAGTGTTGGATGCAATTGATCTCTCAGAACAACTATGAGTTTTGTGTGATCCGAAGCCATTTAATTAAAGTCGCTATGAGTTTTGTGTGATCCGAAAGCCATTTAATTAAAGTCGAAAACAAAAGCATATAACCAAAGCATTACATGCAATGGGTGCAATCGTCATCAAAAGTCGGACGCTAGTGGCACATACCGATCCTAATTAAAGATCGAGCCAGATTTAAAAGAAACGACGTGGCAACTTTATCAAATTAAAGCATCACTGTGAAGAATAAAGAAAGACCAAGAAAGCAATAATCATCGATCCATTTCTTTGTCAAATTAAAATTAGCGAGGAAAGGAAGTTGTACTAAAGAGAGAAGGAAATGACTCAATTGAAAAGTTAATTTAACTTTTTGTGGGGGAACAGATTTCTATAATTTTCTAGTTATCTTATGTATATGAGTTTTTGATACCCCTCTACCAGTATATATAATAATATAAATATTTGTTGGCTGATAAAAAAAATGATGCCATGATTCCAATTTCCAAAGAACATCAACATTATGTCTAGTATCTTCGTGACAATTTATAGAAGAGCTTGACTTCTTGCTCACTAGAAAAAGGGTTCATGAATTCAACAAAATAAAATATCACGCGGGTATATATGTATATGAAAATGCATAGTTTCAATAAAGAAATTGAGGTTAAAACTAGTGAAGGAGATTTAAGATCAAGATTAAACATACAAGATTATTTGCTATTTTCTTAACAAATTATCACATGTTGATTGTTGGAGTTCAAGTGAGAAAAAGAGTCTCACATCAAATAAAGTTGAACGTGTTGAGTAGTATACAAATAATAAAAACTCTCAAATCTAAAATGTTATGATTTTGGTTAAGATATTTGTCTAGTTCACTTATGTGATTTATTACCATCCATTGTGGAGTGCTTTCTCAAATTTTCATTATATATCTAAATCATCCTCTATGTTATAAAAAATATCATCAACATTCATACGGTAGTTCAAATTATTTCATTTATTAGTTTAATAGATTATGTTGTAAAAAATATTTTCGACATTCATGATGGTAGTTTAAATTATTTCATTTATTAGTTTAATATGTATTAATCTAACTTATATTTATTTTGTTTGTCGGACTTAGCAGATTAGATCAAATATCTATTAAGGTTTAACTCGTCAAATTGATAACTATAAACCCAATAACTTATTTTCTTTGTTAGAAGCTATATATTTTATTCAGCCTTTTGTTTAAGGATGGAATCTGGAATAGAGAATGAAATATTGGTGCAGGAGGGTGTAAGAACGCATAAGGATCAACAGAGATTGGTTGGGGCTGTGAGACCTTCTTCTTTTGTTCGATTTGTTCTTCCAGTTGAAAGAATTGAGCTTTAAGGCTCCTAATTTCTCGATCCTTTGCATTTGCTGCTTCGCCAAAAGGAGTGTGCTTCATTTCATTCTCTAATATAGAGATATTAGGAGTTATCTTTTAATAATAGGTTTTCATTTTTGAGGAGAGGTAGTCCAGCTTGTCTTTTGTTTTTTGGATACTGCTTGACATTTTGGTGACTTTGTCATCAATCTTTCTTAGCAAGGAGTTCTGTGCTTGTACATTTTCTGTATGTCAGTTTAGAACTTCTTCTGCTTGGTTGAGTACCTTCGATTTCCCATCGGTACCAATTTCTGATGGAATGATGGTAGGTTTGGTAAAGTACCTGGTATTGGGATCCTTCATTTTGAATCTTATTTAAAACAAAAAAAAAAGTATTGTCTAACCATTTTTAATAATAAAAAAAATTACACTCTTGTCATTCTTAATTTAACAATTTTTTTCAAATTTTTATATTCATTCTTAATTTCACATATAATCTCCCTTATAAAGCTGTCAGCTAGCTTATCAATTAATTTTACATTCAACTAGTTTATCAACTAATTTTACTAAATATTTAATTCTAATTCAATCAATTAGCTTATAAAGTATGTCAAATCCTTAATTTTATATATATATA